GGGTTCAAATTATCTCAGTAGTTATGGATCAAGACGTCCTCGATAAAATGAAGAGGTTTGAGCTCTCGGATAAGGAAAGGTCGGGTGTCGAAATCGCGTCATCAGATATTGAGCTGGGTGTGCAAGAATGCTCCATGAGTCTACTGGGGAAGATTGTTGGGGAGAAGAAGGCGAGTGTTGGGGGTCTGCGTAACACAATGGGGTTAGTCTGGAGAACGGTAAAACCTTTCTCGATTCGGGCCTTAGATAACAACTTGTTTCAGTTTTTATTTCAATCTGAGGAGGATAAGGCCAGGGTTTTAAACGGGAAAGCTTGAACATTCGATGGGCAGTACTTGATATTGAAAGAATGGAAGAAAGATGATATCCAATTCCTGGAGAAGGATATGAAGATTGAGCTCTGGGTCCAGATCCACAACCTGCCTCTGCACTGGCTCTCGGCGGAAACAAGTATCAAAGTGGGTAAGCTCTTCTCGAAAGTTCTTGATGTAATTCCACCGGGACCAGGGATAGGAAATAGCAAGATTGTTAAGATTCTGGTAGAAGTAAATATCTCGGAGCCTATTCCGAGAGGCACCATAATCAAACTAGGCAAAGAGAAACACTGGATCGATCTGAGATATGAAAACCTCCTGCATTTCTGTTTTTACTGTGGAAGAATTGGCCATAGTGACAGGATTTGTGAGACTAAGAAGTCAGATATCCAGAGAAAAGTGTTTAAGACAGGGCAATATGGTGATTGGCTTCGAGCCTCTGGTGGGGGCTTTGGGGGTTTCAGGGAAACCAGATCTCCCAGCTCTAGGGGGTTCAACTCCAACTCTGAATCCTATTAAGTTACAGATAAAGGGGGGTAGAGCCTAGTCAAGGAAAAACTCAAAACCTGGGACATGGGAGTGTGGGAGAGGGTATTGTGGATGTTGTGGTTGAGAACCAAGTTCCCTCTGAGCCTAGGCCAACAGAGGTGATTAGGGCAGAGCCATGTGGGGAGAGAGGGGAGTGTGTGGTGACCCAACCCTCTAACCTTGAGAGTTACACAGTGATGCCTATGGATCTTGATCTTTCTAAGGGGAATAAATTGGTTGATGTCCATCTTATAGATGTTCCTGTTCAGTCTGCTAAACTTGTTGAAACAGGGGCTAAAATTCCTAAATCTTTTGTGAGGATTACTAGAAGCAAAATAACATAGATCAAAGATAAAAATGTCGCTGTTGTTTCCTCAAAAGTGCCTAATAGTCAAAGTAGTGGTCAGTATCTGAAAAGAAAAGTGGTTGAACCCACAAATGTGGTGGGTCAAGTGTCTGTATCTGAGAACAAAAAACCTAAATTGTCTATTAATTTTAACTCTGAAAAGATGGAGGCAACCAGCCATAATTGGTCCCAATGTTCCAAATGATAGCTATGGTGTGGAATTGTAGAGGTTTGGGAGGACCCTCTACAATTTCCCAGTTGAAGGAGCAGTTCAAATCCTACCTCTCATATTTTGTGTTTTTGTCTGAAACCAAAAAGAAAAAAGCTTTTGTGTCTACTGTTTGTAAAAATTTGCATGTAGATTCTAGGTGGTTTTGTGTTGATCCCACTGGTAAAAAGGTGGGCTTTTGTTGTGTTGGTCTGAGAAAGTGTCTGTTTTGGAAATTATAAATAATCAGTTCAGTCTTGAAGTCAAGTTTTCTTTCTCTGGATCCTCTGAATCTAAGTGGGCAGTTTTTGTTTATGCAAGTGTAGACCCCTTAGAGAGGCAAGGTCAGTGGGAAATCCTTCATAGACATCATCTCAGGTGGGGGGAAGTTTGGTTCATAGGGGGGATTCAATGATATCATCTCAGGGGAAGAGAAGAGAGGGGGTTTAATTAGAAGCATGGCCAGTTTTGATGTGTTTAGGGGCTTTCTGCAGGGGCTGGGAGTGGTTGAGTGTTCTTTGAGGGGGTTATCCTTTCACTTGGTCAAACCTCAAGGCTGGGAAGGATTTTTTTGAGGAAAGGTTAGATAGGATATGCTTGTCACCTGACTGGATGCTCAAATATCCTGAAACCTAAGTTAAACACATTTCTCTAGTGTCTTCGGATCACTGTATGTTGCTGATGAGTTGTGATAAGGAAAGGACAGAAGGAAAAAGAAGGTTTATGTTTGACAATAGATGGGCAAGTAAGGAAGGGTTTCAGGAATGTATCAAAAAGGCTTGAGAGGAAGAAACCAAAGGGCCTGATCTCTATAAATTCCAGAAGAAATTAAGACAGGTCAAAGTCTGCTTGATGGGTTGGGCAGCTAGTCAGAAACTGAATTCAGAAATCACAATCAAGGAGTGTAATGCCAAATTGGAGAAGCTTGGGTGCCAAGGTGAGTTGAGAGATTGGAAACAATGGTAGGACTGCAGAGATAAAATTCACAAGCATAGTTGGAGGAGGAGGTCATTTGGAAACAGAAGTCTAGGGTTAACTGGCTAAGAGGAGGAGACAAAAACACCAGGTTTTTCCAAGCCTGTGTGAGGCAAAGAAGACAAAGAAATAGTTTGGATCACTTGGTAAGACTCAATGGAGAAAGCTGTCAGAATAGAGAAGAAGTGGTGGAGGAAGTTACTGGTTATTTTGAGAAGCTATTCACATCTGGGAGAAGTAGAGATGGAAGTGAGGGGTTGCAGGGGATTCAAAGGTCCATAACTACTGAGATGAATGAGAATCTAACCAAGTTAGTGACTGAAGAGGAGATCAAGTCTGCTTTTGGGCCATGGATCCAAATAAAGCCCCAGGTATTATTGGCTATTCCCCCTTTTTTTTCCAATCTGCTTGGGATATTATCAAACATGATCTCTTTTTGGCTGTGTCTAATTTTTTTAACTCTTGCTGTATTCCAGAAGCTACAAACCATACCATTATTACCCTAATCCCTAAAACAAAAAATCCCAAAACCATTATTAATTATAGACCTATCAGTCTTTGCTCCATTACTTATAGATTAATTGCTAAAATTTTGGCAAACAGGTTGAAAAATGTTCTTCACTGTTGCATTTCCAATTCCCAGTCTGCTTTTGTGCCTGGTAGGCAGATTCTAGACAACATTATAGTAGCCAATGAATGTCTCCATTTTATAAATAGTAGGAAAAAAGGCAAAAGATATTTTTGGCCCTCAAGCTTGATATGAAAAAAGCTATGACAGAATTGAGTGGCATTTCCTTGTTGATGTGTGCAGGATGATGGGTTTTTGTGATAAATTTCTGAAGTGGATTTGGGCCTGTATTAGTACCTCATCCTTCTCTTTTAATTTTTCTGGGCAAGCCTTAGGTCAAATATTCCCTTCTAGAGGCCTAAGGCAAGGATGTTCTTTGTCTCCCTATTTATTTATTATTGCTTCAGAAGCCTTTTCTAATCTTATTAATATTGCATGTTCTTCCCAAAATTTTAGGGGTCTGAAAATTAGTAAACATGCCCCTAGTATATCTCATCTATTTTTTGCAGATGATGCCCTTATATTTTGCCAGGCTGATTCTGCTCATGCTCTTTTGCTTTCAGATATTTTGAATTCTTATTGTGCTATGTCTGGTCAAGCAGTCAATATGCACAAGTCTAATATTTTTTTCTCTAGTAATAGCCCTGACTTTTTGAAATCTTAAATTTGCCAAATCTTCCAAGGGGTGGCTGTGGCTAAATATTCTAAATACTTGGGGCTTCCTGTGGGCATAGGGAGATCCAAAAAAGAAACTTTTTCTTTTGTTAAAGAGTGTTGTGGCAAGGGTTACAAATTGGAAAAACAAGTTTTTGAGTGAAGCCGGGAAAGAAGTTCTGATTAAAACCATCTTGGCTGCCCTCCCCATTTATGTTATGTATGTTTTCAAAATTCCTGTTGGAATCTGTGATGAGCTGTGTAAGATCATTGCCAATTTCTGGTGGGGTAGTAATGGGGAAGGGGGGAATAAAATCCACTGGATGCAATGGGGAGGTTGGCAAAGTCTAAGAGTGAGGGGGGGTTGGGCTTTAGAAACTTCAGGGATCTTAATGAGGCTCTTATCATTAAACAAATCTGGAGAATGCTTACTGAGCCTCATACTCTTATGAGTCAAGTCATGAGAGGCAAGTATCTCTATAGGAAAACTTTTCTGGAGGTTACTAAGAGGGATAGTGACTCTTGGTTGTGGAAAGGGTGGCAAGAAGTTAGGGAATCTTTCAAGATTGGGGCCTGTTATATGGTGGGAAATGGGCAGTCTATAGATATTTGGGATTCTCCTTGGATCCCAAAAGCTACTAGGTTTGTGACCCAATGTTGTTTTCCAGCTGATAGAGTTAATTTAAGCAAAGTGGTTGACCTAATGCTTGCAGGAAGAAGTGAGTGGGACAGTGATCTAATCTTTCAATCCTTCACTCCCCAAGATGCAGAAAACATCCTCAAGATACATATCAGCAAGTTGGGGAGACTTGACAAGCTGATTTGGCTACCAAACAAAAAAGGAACCTTCACAGTAAAAAGTGCTTATCAAGTTATTCAGAGGCAGAAGAATTTGGAAAGAGGTTCAGAGGGGAGCAGCATGGGCCAAGGCATTCAAGAAAAAGTGTGGAGAGTCACATGGCACATGCCAATCAAGCCAAACATCAAAACCTTCATATGGAGGTGCTACAACAAGTGCTTGAGTACAGCTGATAATCTGAGGCACAGAGGGATTAAGGTGGATGAAGTCTGTTGCTGGTGTGGAGAAAAAGAGAAAATCTGGAACACCTAATGTTTCAATGTGATAGAGCAAAAAGGGTCTGGAAACTTGCAGG